GAGATACGGAACCTCAATGTGACTTTGGACCAAATGGACTTAATTGATACCTACAGAACACTCCATCCAAAGACCATAGAATACACATTCTACTCATCACCACATGGGACATATTCTAAGATCGACCACATACTCGGCCATAAATCAAGCATAAGCAAATTTAAAAGGACCGAAATTCTACCAAACACCTTCTCGGACCACAGTGGAATAAAAATAAACGTTGACACCAACAAAGTCCCCCCAAAACCCACAAAGACATGGGCACTAAACAGCATGATGCTAAACAACTCCTGGGTCAATGACAAAATCAAAACAGGGATCAAAAGATACCTGGAAACAAATGAAAATGAAGAAACATCTTACCAAAATCTCTGGGATGCCCTGAAAGCTGTAGTAATAGGGGAATTTATATCCCTACAAACACACATGAAGAAAATGGAAGGAATAGAAATTCACAACCTAACAAGCCACCTAAAGAAGCTGGAAAAGCAAGACCACAAAAACCCTAATTTCAGCAGAAGAATCCAGATCACCAAAATAAAAGCCCAAATCCAGGACATAGAAGACAAAAAGATAATACAAAAAATCAATGAAACAAAAAGCTGGTTCTTTGAAAGGATAAACAAGATTGATGGTCCCCTAGCTAGACTGACCAAGAAAAAATGAGAAAAAAACCAAATAAGTACAATCAGAAACACAAAAGATGAAGTCACATCTGACCCTGAAGAAATACAAAAGATCATTAGAGACTACTACGTACACTTGTATGGAAACAAACTTGAAAATCTTAAGGAAATGGAGGGCTTTCTGACATCACACAACCTACCTAGGTTGGAACAAGAAGAAATTGAGACCCTAAATAGACCAATAACAATCAAGGAAATCGACTACATAATAAGAAAACTTCCTACAAAAAAAATCCCTGGTCCAGATGGCTTTCCAGCAGAATTCTACAAGACATTCAAGGAGGAGCTGATACCAATTCTACTGAAGGTATTCCAGGTGATTGAAAAAGATGGAACTCTCCCCAAATCGTTTTATGAGGCCAACATCACATTGGTACCCAAGCCAGGTAAAGATCCAACAAAGAAAGAACTACAGACCAATATCTTTAATGAACATAGATGTTAAAATTCTCAACAAGATCCTAGCAAACCGGATTCAGCAATACATCTCAAAAATCATCCACCATGACCAAGTAGGCTTCATTCCTGGGATGCAAGGCTGGTTCAACATTCGTAAAACCATAAATGTAATTAAATACATCAACAGATGTCAAAACAAAAACCACATGATCATATCATTAGATGCAGAAAAGGCTTTTGACAAAATCCAGCACCCCTTCTTGATAAAAACCCTTGAACATCTAGGCATACGGGGAACATACCTCAAAATAGTAAAAGCCATCTACGAGAAACCCACAGCCAGCATACTCCTAAATGGACAAAAATTGGAACCAATTCCCCTGAAAACTGGAACTAGACAAGGATGCCCACTCTCACCCCTCCTGTTCAACATAGTATTAGAAGTCCTAGCTAGAGCAATCAGAGAAGAGGAGGCAATCAGAGGTATTCAAATAGGAAAAGAGGAAGTCAAGTTATCTCTCTATGCAGATGATATGATTGTGTACCTTGAAAACCCAAGAGAATCTGTCAAAAGCCTCCTTACATTGATAAAGGCCTTTGGCAAAGTCTCAGGATGTAAAATAAATGTACAAAAGACAATCGCATTTCTCTACACCAATAATAAACAACCAGAATCCCAAATAAAAAACACAATTCCATTCACAATAGCCACAAAAAGAATGAAATACCTTGGCATCTTCCTAACCAGAGACGTGAAAGACCTTTACAATGAAAATTACAAAACAGTGCTCAAAGAAATCAAAGCTGACCTGAACAAGTGGAAAAATATCCCATGCTCATGGATCGGAAGAATCAACATTGTGAAGATGTCCATCTTACCTAAGGCAATCTACAAATTCAATGCAATACCCATTAAATTACCAACAACATTTTTCTCAGACCTAGAAAAAACAACACAGGAATTCATATGGAAACACAAATGTCTAAGAATAGCCAGAACAATCCTCAGCAAAAAAACCAAAGCAGGTGGTATCACAATATCAGACTCCAAACTTTACTATAAAACTACAATCATCAAAACAGCTTGGTATTGGTACAGGAACAGGCATATAGATCAATGGAACAGAATTGAGATTCCAGAAGCAAAACCTCAATTTCTCAACCAACTCATCTTCGACAAAGCCCCCACCACCTACCACTGGGGAGAGGAGAACCTATTCAGTAAATGGTGCTGGGAAAACTGGCTGACCACATGCAGAAGATTGAAACAGGACCCCTATCTATCCCCTATCTATCCCCATGCATAACTCCAAATGAAGATTGAAACAAGACCCCTATCTATCCCCATGCATAACTCCAAATGGATCAGAGACCTAAATGTAAAACCTCAAACCATAAGAACCTTAGAAAAGGAAGGAAATACCCTCATGGAAATCAGAACTGGCATCCAATTCCTGCACAAAACCCGAAATCCACAGGTCATAAGAGAGAAGATAGACAAGTGGGACCTTATTAAACTGACAAGCTTCTGCAAAGCCAAAGAAACCATCAAGAGAGCAGGGAGACAGCCTACAGACTGGGAAAAAGTATTTGCCAACTCTAGGTCTGACAAAGGCTTAACACCCTGGATCTACAAGGAACTGAAACGTACTGAAAAGAAGAAAACAAACAACCCCATTATAAAATGGGCAAAAGATATGAACAGACACTTCACAAAAGAAGACATCCGAGC